ACAATGGCGAAAGAAAATATGATGAAGATCGAATTTGCAATTTTATTTACTAAGTTTTGGTATTCTTAAATTTTCCTGTGTATTACTTAATTGCTCCCCTTTTTGAACGAATACAGCTTTAATGCATTCAGGAAAGTTTTTACAGAACTTTTTATTTATTTTTGGGGGGTGGGGGGAGGGAATTGAACACTGATCTCCAAGTGTGACTTCCACATATATATTAATTTGTAAGTTGTTGGCATGTTTTGATTAAAATCTGGTCTTCTTATACTGACCCCAAACGTTTTTATTTGGATATGAAGCAGAACTGTTCCAGGGCAAAGCAAGTGAAGATACTATACTTCACCTAAGAAATTCTCTTGTTCTCTTTTGAGTTAGGCCATGCCGCTAAATAATAAATATACAAATCGTTTTCTAGAAAATACTAAACAAGTACACATTGTATAAACATCTTTCAGTATCTCCTGATGAGCACAAGAGAGTTTCTCAAATGCAATGCTTTTCTACATTAAGGCGACAAAAAGCAAATTTCGATTGAATCTCAAATGAAAACAATTCATGTAAAATTTACGATGGAATGAAAATACTTAGGTTATAACATGTCAACAAATATAGAAAGACATGTTGAACTCTTCGACTTGAATGGTACTCAATTCCAAAAACGTTCCGTAAAAACTTAACTCAAAACAAACCTGACGGCATTAAGGCTGTTATTTGTGCAAAAGGGGAGCAACTAATTACAAGAAAAGAAGACTTCAATATAAAATTCAAATATAACATATATAGTAAAATTGCAAAATTCTTCATATCTCTTGTTTGCGCCTTTTTTTTTTTTTTATAAAAAATAAAATTATACATATTTTCAAAATGTGGATTTAATTAGTCCACAGAGCATGTCACGTTAAAACGTTTCTTTTTGAGCTGTATATGTAAAATACCTCACGTCCCTTGATAACAGGAAACATGTTACACGAATATTTTTTTTATCTACATTTACGATAATTTATTAGATGTCAACTTTTATATACAATTGATCATACTGGGCATTGAATTGAAAATGAATAAAACTGTGTTATCCGCTACTTAAGATTGTGTCTCTGTTTTGAACATCAGTGAATCTTCTGAAAGTCACCAAAACTTTTTTTCCCTGACTGTAATACTTATTAAAACATTTTAGTTTCTAATTCGATGAATACAGAGGGTAAACTACGTATCTAAAACTATCAAACAATTTTCTTTCACAAAGAAGAACAAGATTAATATATCTTCATATTTCATTCCCGTTTGCTCTAGGTTTTAATATTCCTATATTTACTGGTATATCAAGATTTAGTAAGCATTTAAAAAGAATTACATCTTCTTCGATTTTGGGCTATTAATTTTCTCTTTTCTATCATTTTCATTCATTGACTATCCTCTTGGCTGCTGATTAGCATAAAACAGTTATATTACCAGACATTACACAAGGGATTCGACAACCGCCGTTCAATTAAGTTATAGTGGGGCAGAGCTAATATATGTAACTACACTTTGAACTCCTTAATAATGGTAATTTGATTTCTTCATTGTCTATTTATAACCATTTACCAAGAAATTTAATAATATAAGTTTCTCACTCTTAACATTCTCAAGATAAAATTATTTATTTGACATACACGCTTCTACTAAAAAAGAAGCCCTTGATATAAACCGCATTGTCAGGATTGTAAATGTAAAGTTTCTTTTTTATAAATTGAAATAAATTTATATTGACACGTATTTTGTGCTTCCGTGTTTCTATGGTTTGGCTCCGACCTATACAATTAGTTTTAAAAAGGATAGCCGGTGTGCCATGATATTGCTTAACTCCGATGGTTATCAGCTTTGTAAAAAGAATTCTATATTAATTAGACTTTGAAATGATAGTGAAAGGTCAAGAACTTATAAAACAATATAAACAATATTCAAAACAAGATCAAGGTTTGATTGATTTAAGAAATAGGTACCTCTAACCATTAAAGTCAACGCCATTTATTTATTTATTTATTTATTTATTTTTTTGAATTTTCGTCCGAAAGAGATTTTATGAAATATTTTCTTCTAGTGCCCAACAGCAATTGAAATAAGTGAGCAAGATTTAACGGTCAGTTAATTAGGAACAGTTGTTTTTTGTTTTGAACATATTTAATTGACAATGTGTTAAATGTCGGAATAAAAAACAATGAATTCTGAGTAGGTGACCAGTCCCTTGCGTTTGCAAATATGGTTGTTCATTATTTCCCCCACGCACAAGTCCTTGGGGAATGTGAAATACTTTTTTTCCTTCTTATGCAAATGTGTGTATCGTACCGCACAGCTGTACACAATGATAATTGTTAACAATACAATAATTACACATCTGTAACTGGCTTGATAGATACAATTATTGATCCTTTTTAAACACAAGTGCTTTCTCACCTTCTCGCTTGATCAGAATTGACAACTATGACAGAGCAATGACGTGTTCAATCACCGATGAAAATATGCATATTGAGAAATTTAATATTTGAATCGCAAACACATCAGAAATCATAGTTTTTTTTTTACCAACAAAATATGACTGGAAGATTTTATCACCCAGAATATTGTTTAATAAAAACCTTTTTGAAACATGATAAAAACCCTTTACATAAAACAGATATTAATAAAATAAAATGTAATTTGGAAGAAATTACTTGCTTTAAAACAATTAAAGCGCAAATGCATCCTTGTTAACTAAAATGTTATTGTTTTAAGTTTTTCATACTAAATATTGAAATTTGTTTTCCCCACAAAACATCAAGTTAGGTTCTATTCTATAGAATTTGTTTTCATTTGTCTTGCGATAGTTCTTTAATTCACAGATAATTAAAACGTTTATTTATCATTGCAAAAGAATGCAATAGAATGACTTACCTCTCATTTTAGACTCCCCTTCCGCGTCACCTCTATCTACGTCTCTCTGTGGTGTCCATTCTGACTGTTTTGGACACATCTGTCCCTCAGATAAACATCCTTATTGCAAAATTGAGGGATCCTCATCTACCTGTCATTGTACTGGTAAGTAATAATAATTAAAGCTGTCAGATATAGACAAATATTAAGCTACAAATATTGAAAAAAATCCTGGTACCCAACATTACAAACCTCCCATCATCCCGAATAGTGTCTTTTAAAATTTATGTATCTCATGCTTTGATGTCTGCTTTTAGAAACGCAATTTTAAATTATTGTCTGAAATATGTTTTTGAACAAGCAAAGGCATAACAGGAATATCTGTGGCCTTCATTTTATTCTTCAATATTTTCACATGCTGGACAGAACAGTCTCGCAAATGAATTTGTAATAATGTTGCAATATTGAATTCAGTGTGTATTCATTGCATTGTACTTATGAGCATTTTAAATATTTTTTGTTTAGAAAAATAATTATAAACGTGTTTTTGTACAAAAACGAATACCTACTGACGAAATGTTAAGTTCTGGATGCCTTTGAAAGCATTCAAAAGGGCATGAATAATTTTCTTGTAGCTGACTTTAGGAATTCCATATTTCTTCTTGCAAACAGAGTGCGAGTTTAATGTAATTCTTATAAAGATGTTTGTGTCATACCTACGAGTTTTTAAATAACCATCATTTTTCAATGTAAACATATACACAAAAAAGTAGTTTATTGAGGTCAAAATTCTGTTGGATTTAAAGCTTCATATACATCCTCAGATTCAACAACGACAGAGTCAACAACAACAACACCTACATCTGTACAAATAATATCAACAAGGAATTCATCAATACAGACAACAACAACAGCACAATCAATATCCACACACCCAACCACAGTGGCATCGACACTTTTGTTGACATCAACATCAAAATCCACTACTAATGTGACATCTTCTACGTCTTTTTCTTCATCAATTGCACTGAATTCAACACTATCAACTGTGTTTTCTTCAATAAAATCGGGTACAGCGTAAATTTTCTCCATAACAGTCTTCACCAGGAGCACCAAATCCTCCACAAAGAAAACTTTACTCTAAACATATTTTATTGAACAATTCAATACAGATTGGTAAACAGCAAAGCCTATTCACACTCTCTCCATGTATAATAGACCAAGACAAAGACGATAAACATATAAAACATCAAACTCGGTGCCAAAGAAAAACGTTTTCAAGTTTTATTATATTATTCCCCATGGTCCTATGTGTGTTTTGATTTGATTCATATCTCAAAGTTCTAAGTGAATATTCAGCGAGGAACTAAAATCATGTCAAGTCAGATAGAGGTTAAAATTAAGAAAGTTTTCTGTAAAATTCTATATACGTGTTTTGTAATTGAAAATTAATAATAAATCACATATCATTGATAGATCTTTACCCCAGTCACTTCGTTTTAATTTTGATAATTTTTTTCAAATAGCATGTACCTCTCAAAAACATTTCTAACGAAAAAATGGAGCACCTAAACTATAAGTTAATAATATGCTTTTGTATCGTATTTTGACAATTAATGAAATTGACTATAATGCTTTGATTTCCTATGACATAATGATAATTTTGATATATACTTTGATTCTTTACTCTGTAATATTTTTTTCCAGATTTTGATTGATTGATTGATTATATGTTGTTTTAATTCGAGAATTTTTCAACCATATAGAGACGTCACCTTATACCGGTGAAGGGCTTCATATTTAGACCTTTACTCGGCACTCACGGCCATTGAGCAGTTAGGGTTCTTTATCGTGCCAACGCCTACCGTGACACGGGGCCTCGGTTTTTAAGGTCTCTTCCGAACCACCCGCAACTTTCATTTCAAAGTGCCGAGCGCTTGGCGAAGGAACAACTGCTACATATCTTTATCGACTCAGGTCAGTCCCAGCCGATATTCAAACACACGACCTTCCGATCACGGAGCGAGCGCTCACCCAACTGAGCTACCGTGACGGTTTCAGATTTTGTTATTAATGACAGAAAAAAGGGAAACCTTTTATGATAGAACATGCATTTACCTCCAGTATTGATTTGATCTATCATAAAAGGAAAACCTCCAAAACTTTGATGTGTCTGTTTCGTGAAGGATAAGTTTCTTAAGTCCATTTTATTGTCCGAGATGCTTTATAACTTAAATTAATCTGATTAAAACAGCTGATCCAATGCGTATAAACTGATTTTAATCAGATTAAACTTAAAATAAATAGAAAATTCTTATACCAAAAACCTTTGTAATTTACAGAAATTAATTTTATCACAAGTTATTCTCTTTTTAATTAAAGGAATAAGAAAGTGTCACACATGTGGAGACGCAAATAACTCTATTTCCTGTGACACAAGGACCATCTACTTGGGTAATTTACAGAATTGTGCTCCGGGTGAAGATTTCTGTATGACTGATATAGTACACGACGGGCACGCTTATCCAAAAACCTATAAAAGGTTAGTATAAAGAGGATTTTTAATTTTCTGTAATTTGATATGGAATTTATTTCAGAAGTGGGATATAGGAATTTTTTTTATTTTCGCGAGTGCGAAGCACTTGATAGTGAAACTATCAAAAATTCCTGTCCCACTCGTGATATATATTCCATATTCAACTATAAAATATTGAATTTTTTGTTTATTGCATTTTCCTTGATTTTCCTTTGTCTCTTTACATTCGTAACACACTGTCAAAGGCTGTGTGACGCGGTTGAGATGTCATAGCTTAGAGATTGTGAGATGGAAAACATTGTATATTGGTAGAAACTTCGGCAGTTTCAGTCTCTGTCAGGAGGGTTTTTTACTCTCTTTATTATAACAGGCCGGAGAGTTTGTTTTTTTTTTTTACAACACTCTTTATAAGGAAAAGGAAAAACGAAAGTTTTGCCACACTTTTGATATTCTTTCACACTGTGACAAAATGTTACTTTGATATTCTTCTGAATTTGACAAAATATCAGTTTTAATTTGTAAATAAATAACAGTCTTTCACTATTGAATATGTAATAAATACCAAAACAAAATGTAGCCTTAAAAAAATATTATGCGTGGATTTGTACGCAAATTTTGAAATAAGTTGAATTTTTACATAAAGAGAGTGAAATGTTTAAGATACTAGTATATGAATAGAAAGGATTTTTTAACTGTAGGTGTGTGACGGAGCAAGAATGTCGAAACAAATGGCTCCACCAATCATCTGATCTGGAATACTGTATCAACTACGGAAGTGTTCCAATGTCAGGACAGTACAGCTGCCATTTTTGTTGTGTAGAAGATGGATGTAATGCCGGGCAGGTTCCGGAAAAATCAACCTTTTATACCAAAGCATGAAAAAGTTGATAAAATTTACCAAACAATTTTATTTATTTAACTACAACCATTAATATTGCAGAAAAATTCTTTGATTGAAATAGATTGAAGTAACAAATGAAACAACACACCAGGAAATGATTTTTTTTCTCTCTCTCAAAATGCAAATTCTTACTTAGAATTTAGAAAACGCACCTTTTGAATATAATATTTATCAATAATCTGCCTCTGCTTCCTTGTGTGTTTTATCATCGTATTTTTTAATTATTGTTTTTTCATTAAAGTGTAAAAGGTGAAGATAATTAATGAACAGCCATCAATCTCATTAATTCAGAAAAGAATACAAATTATCAACAGAGCAAAAAACACGGATCCCTTGAAACACCAGGGGTGAAAAATGTGTTTTATTGACCTTAGTTGAGTTTTTCCTGATTCCTGATTGAAAATGTTAAAAATTTGTCGTTAATGTTCTTAACTTAATCTTATTTAAAATGTCACTTTTATATTCACACAACACTTACTCTTCGCAGTTAGACAAATGCATACATACCGTTTATAGATAATGGATATAACGTCAAAATCGTATGCTTTGTACTCGTAATATGAGAACATTAGAAAATAAGAAGATCAGTATTTAATTCTAAACATCTCTAACTTGAGTCCATTTTGTGTATTGATATTGTAAGAATAATTATGCCATTTACTTGTGACATGATTTTTTTAAGTAACAAAAAAAACAGCACACAAATATACGATTGTTAACTTGCTGTGGAATCACATTAATATTTGCGAGTGCCAATCTTCCTGTTTTTATAGATTGACGGATTCTTGGGGGGGGGGGGTGGAGGGGGGTTATCAAACAGTATGAAAGAACGACAACTTCTGATATTCAATAGCCCTCGGAGATGTTCATTCTATGAATTTCTGAGATATTTGTTGCATATTAAATCCCTATAAATTATATTAATATATGCAAAGCAAACTATATGCAAATATTCATAGCATGGTATATAGAACATGAATCCTTGTGATATCTAAAAAAAAAAAAAAAAAAAAAAAAAAAATGACAGTCTTATTTTATTACCAAAATTAGGTCAAAGTCATTGCATTTTTCTCGAAATAAAGGACACAAAAATGGTAAACGCTTTCAATTAGCACAGAGAGATCAAAACAAATATGAGCTTTGAGATAATAAAACAAAAGTGGATTAAATGATTTAGCTAAAAATATATTGAAAGTATTGCACACACATACAAAAGTGAAAAGAGGAAGGAAACTAAAATAAAGTTCACTACTTTTAGGATATCTGTGGTATTTTGGAAAGTTTGTGGGAACGTATAGGGAAAAAAAAATCTTTAAAAATCTTCTCACCAGGAACGAAGAACAGTGCAAACATGTGAAAGCTTCATTACATAGTGTAGAGTTAAAATTATTCTTTCAAAACATTACTCCTCCTAAAGTTTTGATCCACTTTCAATAAAGTAGAATATACTAAGATACACAATTCTGTTTATCTGTTTCAGATTTCCTTGAACCATGCTTAATAAAAATAGATACAATCAAAACTTGTTATCTCAAATAAGATGGGACCAACATTAACTTTTGAGATATCCGATGATTCGAGATAACCTCGAAATGATAAAGGTGAAATTCTTGTAACCAGGTTTTTTTTGTAAAAAAAGAAGGCATTTTTAACCCCCCCCCCCCCCCCCCAATTTCACGACAAAGGTGAAAAAAAAATTCGAAAACCTTATTGCACATCCATAGGACACCACCAATCATCTTCCAAAAGATGATTAGGCTACTGCGTAAAATGTGAGAGGAGTTCTGGGAACCAGCTGTTTTTGTATAAAAAAAATTCATTTTTCGACCCCCATTTGACCCCAAGGATGAAAATGAAAATTTCGAAACATTGCAGATTTACAGGACACCACCTATCATCTTCCAAAAGATGATTAGGCTACTGCATAAAAGTAAGAGGGGTTCTGAGAACCAGTTTTTGTGGGAAAAAAGATCCTTTTTTGACCCCCGTTTTGCCCCAGGGTAAAACTGAAAATTCCAAAAGCTTATTTCACATCTACAGGACACAAACTATTATGTTCCAACCGATAGATTAATTGGATACTGCTCAAAATGAAAGAGGAGTTTGAGGAAGAAGAAAGTGTGATAGACTGACGGACGGACGGACCAGCTGGGTAAAGTGCAGGTATAATAAAGGTTCTATGAAAAACAGGGCATTTAAGGCGAGAACAAAACCCCGCTCTGGGACAATATATTTTTCAATTTTCAAAATTCATGGCAAAGTTATATTTTTCAAAAATTATGTTATCGGTAATGTCATCTTCAACACATTTGATTCATTTATTAAATTGACTGATTTATTGATTGATAATTTGTTTTTAAGGTTGATAGTTAAGCATATTTAATGGAAAATGGGTTATATTTATTGGAGACAAGTGAATGGGTCAAGTCTCGAGCTCCATTCTAAATTAACGTTTAAATGATGGGAAAATGAATGTTAATTCTATTTTAGGTTTAAAAGAAAATGGAGTCTGAACCCATTCTACATTCAGGTACATGTATATGAAGGAATTGTCTTGTCACAAGGTATATACAAGTGTGATATGAAAGCCCTAGCACTAACCGTTCAAAAGTAATGGCCAAATTTAAAGTTTTTTTATATTGCGTCAAACTCCAAGGTCAGGTCAAAAGGTAAAAATAATCTGTATTCAGTGAAAGGTCTTATCACAAGGAATAAACATGTGAAGTATGAAAGTCCTCGCACCAACCGTTCAATAGTTATGGCCAAGATTAAAGTATGGCAAAAGTTTGCAAGAGTGCGTCAAAAGGTCAAATATGTTCATATATATACACCAAGAAAGGTCTTGTCATTAGGGATACACCTGTGAAATATGAAAGCCATAGCTCCAACCAATCAGAAGTTATGAGCAAGGATAAATTTTTTGCAGACAGACAGACAGACAGACAGACGGACAGCTAGACAGACTAACAGACGAATGAGATTTTTATGTCCTCTTGCTTTCGCGAAAGCGGGGGACAAAAATAACAAGAGGTTTATGGACTTAACATTCACATAAGTGTCATTAGGCAAAAAGTCTTTATGCATCCGCTGGTCATCTCGTTTGTCTTACAATTTTGTTGTTAGTTGGCCCTTATCGTCTATAGTCAGTAAAACATCCAAATATTAAATGTGGAAGACTTTGTAGTGCCTTTTTTTCAAAATCACTGGGGTATATTGAGTCGACATATAAACAGGAGAAACTATTGTTAATTATTATTATTGCTATTATTGATAAATCGTCGATATATCTAAATGAGGAGTTGAAGCCAAAGCAAGTGTTTTCTTCTTCTCATGTATAAGTTTTTATTTGCTTAAATGTGGGAGAAGAGAAATTTTACTTCTAAATACCTGCATAACGGGGCTTGGACACAGATTTGATGTCAATATTTTTGTATATTATAAAAGCATGTGTAGAATTTTGCTTTAACTGAAAATTAATTAAGTTAAGAATTTCGGAACGTTTTTGATTGATACTTCCTTGAACTTTCACGAACTAAACTTTATCCTTAATATTGAAGAATAATGGAAAATTATTGTGTATTAATGAAAGATATTAAAGTATAATCCAGAAATTTCAGAGTAGGAATGTTAGAAAGCAAAACCAACACACCACTCTTGTTAATGCTTGTTCGGTGATGTTTGCAAAGTTAATGAATTGAACACACTTGGTAAAACGTCAACATTCACAATAACAAAGCTCGTGCCCATTTTAACAAACGCAAATGTTTGAGGTAATGTAATGAAGAATATCATGGTCATGGAATATTAAGAATTTTCATTTAAGTTCATTTTTTTAAACTGAAGTAATTTTTTTAAAAAATAAAATAGAAATTTACATTTGTTAACAAAACGGCAATGCAGCTGTGTTCAAGCCCCTTTAAAGTTTTTCAAAATTAGGTCAAACTCAAAGGTCAAGTTCAAATGGTAAAAAATTGTTGGTACCCAAAGGAAGGTCTTGTCACAAAAATACACATCTGAAATTTGAAAGCCCTCGCCCAACCGTTCAAAAGTTATGACCGAGGATAAAGTTTTTCAAAAGTGGATCAAACTCCAAGGTCATTGTCAAAGGGTCAAAATTGTTGGTACCCAAGGGAATGTCTTGTTACAAGGAATACACATATACATGAATAATATGAAAGCCCTTGCTTCAACCATTGAAAACTTATGACCAAGGTTTAAGATTCAAACTCAAAGGTCAAGATCAAAATGTCTAAAATAAATTCCTACCAAAGGAAAGGTCTTATCATATGAAATAACCGTGAGTTATGAAAGCCCTAGCACCAATAATTCAAAAGTTATGGCAAAGGTAATTGTTCAGTAAAATATTGTAAAAGTGGGTCGAAAACCAAGGTCAAGAGGTAAAAATATGGTGTACCTAAAGTAAGTTCTTGTCACGGAGAATACACCTTTGAAATATGAAAGTCATAGCTCCAATCAATAAAAAATTATAGGCAAGGTTAAAGTTTTTGCGGACAAAGGACAGACAGACAGCTAGATAGACGAACAGACACACAGAGCAAACACTATATGCCCCCACATCTTTGACTACTGGGGTATAAAAATACTTTATGGTATATCTAGACTCCCAATACTGGAGAGAATTCCTTTGGTATATTTTTCAAATCGGTTCAAGACATGTTTCATGAAGCTATATATTGCTTTACGAAAAAACTTCCCCAATTTTGATACTGGAACATATTCGTGTACTTCGTTTTAAAAGTAATTTTTCAAATTTTCTTTCCAACAAGGGACTGACTTGTAATATTGATATGTTTTTATTTGTTTATTTGTTGTTTAACGTCTCTGTCGAGAATTTTCACTCATATGGAGATGCCACCATTTGCCGGTGGAGAGTTGCAAATTTTGACCTACCGGAATACTCGGCACTCAGGGCCATTGAGCAGTGAGGGATCTTTTTCGTGCCAGCACCTACTGTAACACGATCTCATCCGAAGAACCGGTCTCCACGTCCCACAGTGGGAGT